TGTGTGTGTGTGTGGCCTACCACATCTTCTAAATGTTCATTTTGGTCATGGAAATTAATAGCACCATTATAGTAATCCCCATAACATTAAAGGTACTGTTTTATTTTCAGTCTCTAACAGAAAGCATCGACCAACCACCAATTTGGGACAAATAGACAGAAGAAATTGCCTTAATACACAGAATTCTCATATGACACCATACTGAGTATTTGACAGCAGCTCAGATTCTCTGAATACTGAGTCACTACAACATTGTCTTGTCCAAATCTAAATCATGTCATTAATATGAACATGCTATGACAGGCCTTTTTTTTAATTCAATTTTTCCAAGCTATACTAAGTAACTAGGCTTACCTAATTAAAAAATAAATAAATAAAAAATGCAACTATGCCTTTTGAATTACATGGCACAATGTCCTCCTGGATTATTTAGTTTGAAGTTAATTATTAATGGACAAGGTACAGACTGTGAACGCATTCTGTGTAGAAGGTCACTATCTTGTATTTGTTGGAAATGCAAAAGGACCATGTCTTTGAGTAAACACACCACGTCAGAGCATAGGCCTATACTTTGTGCCTGATTGAACTTGGGTTGGCATATGTCACATGTCTCTCAAAATATCACACTAAAACAATACATGGCTAATCTTTTAGATATTTTGTTGAGGAGCATTTGTTTCTCTAAAGCTTCAGGATTTTCTCTGCTTCTCTGCTCGATCATTCATCATGCAATTCAGCACGCTCTCTATGTTGCAATGTACTGTCACTGTGGGTGGCACCTTGGTGATCCTCCTCAATCTCATACATTAGGGTCTGTATTCTCAGTAAATATTCCCATGGAATCTTTAAACATCGACCTCCATTCTCCTTTTTGTCACTAGGAATTCATGTTCGAGATCATAGAGAGGTCAGAATATTTTTAAGCTACTAGACCCAGTCAGATAGATAGATAGATAGATAGATAGTAAAAGTGAGGCAGCAGGATTTCATTGAATTCCCTGCTGTTATTTGCAGGAATGTGTTACTTGGAGCTCCTATTTCAAAGCTTTTAAACCACAAAAGAGGCCTTTAAACAAACCTATGTTTCTCTTTTTTGCCATTTGCACTTTTACCCCGTCATTTATCTGATGGAACACAAAAGGGCCAGCAGGTTAAGCTTATGATTCATCTGTGTGAACCCGATAACTGGATCTCTTTCTTTCCAAATAAAAGATGCAAAAATGTCTGTGGCGACAGTAAACATTCCGGAGCGAGACAGGAGTTTGTTCTGGCTATTATCTGGCACAGCTGTGACAACCCCTGTTGGCTGCAGGTTTGTGGCCAACCAAAGCATGTTTACCTGGAAATGAATCTCAAAAGTAGTGCGACGGGGAATGTACACAACGCCGGATGGATGCAGAGGGGGGAAAAAAAACAGTCCTGCCATTGAAATGCCATTCAAAGCCAAAGGGGTGGTACGGAAGATATTGCACAGGGGCCTGGGCGCAAACAGTGGCGTAAATGGGCTAAAGGACTTCCTCAAATACGCACATTTTGATTTTGAGAAGCATTCGGCGAGGACTGCCCCGTAGTGCGCTTCTGTTTGGTCTGTATCCAAGGCCCACTGCAATACACTTCTCTTGTCATGCAAAAAAGACCACGGCACAATCATGCATGCCTCAAACAAGGTACCAATCCACATCCAGCGAGCCCAGCGTACTGGAGGATCTGAATGCACGAAATCAAACATCTCTTCATTTCGGCTAAATGGCCAAACTGGGCAGAAGTTAAACGGGGTGACAGAGGGAACAAAACAAAGCCTTTCGACGGCTTGAGATGGTAAATCTCTTAATTGATCAGATTAATGCATTATAATGCTTTGGCATGTCTGACAAACTATTACCCCTCTGAGGACAAAAAGGTTCGGATTAAATCCGTTATTTTAATCCTTCCATTTTAATGTATGCCGCAGCAAAAATGTAATATCAAATAACCCTTCACTGCTATTCATCAGTGAGGGAACTGCAAAGTCAACACACATTTTAATTACAAGCCAAAAGCAATTAAACGTGAGGACAAGCGTCAGTATGCTAATGAAATGGCAGGCTCCCGTGGGAAGAGAAGCTCTTAAATATCACCGCTATCAGTCCAGATTGAGCACTACAAGCTGCCATCGTTCACACTCACCTGACACATTTTCACCTCCAAGCTGCAGTAAAGTAAACACAGGCTTGACGGAAATCAATTCATTAGGGAAAGTTATTAAAGCATGTGTAACGTGACGTTAGTAAGAGATTAGAGTTTCCCGTGTTTCCTTGCCATCCTTCTCACCTTCCATTAGTAAGAAGAAATGGTAATAGAGGAGTGCTACTTTTTGGATCTTTAAAATATAGAAAGGCCAGAAATCCACATATCTTAGATTCTGCCAATCCTTATCGGAGTTTCCGCCGGTTGAACTGACTGATGCAGGCATTCAGCCCCTTAAGAAAACAGTCACGTTTCAGTTTTACATCAGTCAGAAGCCATTTGACTGTTCCCATTTTCCATTATTCCCGTGTCTGCCGGAGGGCAGTCTTATCTGTATTCCGGGCTGATAGGTGATAGTGAGTTTGGGATTAATGTAGTTGGAATGAAGGATGACCCAAGACAACCATCACCAAGAGCTTTACTCTGTGTCTTCAGCTTCACGTATTCATGTATTGACTTCTTTCATGAATTCTATATGCCTATTAAAGATTTGTTACAGAATTTTTTAAGCCTTAAATAGCTTTTAAGCCAATAAAGTCTACTGTAGTGTATTTGATACATCTAAATGATCAACTTGATCAAAACTTTGCTGAAAAACCTGTTGAACACAATCTACTATATGCCTTTTAG